GATTTCAAGTTTATAAACAAATTTATCACAAGAACAAGTCACAAAAACAAAAATCAAAATAATAGGAGTTGCCAAAAATTTTCTCTTTTTTTTCTTACCAATTTTCCTTATCCTTAATTCTCTGAAAACATGCAATTTACTGTGTAGGAGCTTGGTCTGATGCATGTTACGGTCCTTAGGCTTAGGATCTGGTTAGACCTATCTTTGTTTTGTAAACCTGCCTAAGACATATCTGATTGGTTGATTAAACAGCCTATACCTGGGCAGGGAGAATGGGGTAGGTGTGGCTAAGGTTCCTGGGCTTTGGAGGACAGAGAGGATCACAGGAAACAGACCAGAAAAGAGGAAGAAGGAGGACACCAGGATGCCTTAACCTGGAGAAGAAACCACGTGAGGCTGGGAGGAAGGACTTCAATAATGGCATGGAAAGACCCAAATGCAGAATAAAAACAAGTATTCATAAGAATATAGATGGAAGATAGGATGGTTAAGGAGGATGGCACTGGATGCAGGCTGGGAGATTGATGGTGAGGTGATTCAGACAGCGTAAGTAGGAATATCTGCCTCACTCAAGGCAGATAAGGAAATTATAAAATCTAACAGATGTCTTATTATTTGTTATAGTGGGTTAGATAATACCACCATTACGGTGGTATAATCACGGGGCAAATAATAATAAATAATATATAGTACAACACCTTTTTTTTTTATTTACAGCAACATCCTAATAAAATATCAGCTCATAAATTCCACATAACCCTGTTTTCTAGAGAATATAGGCTAGTAAAAGGACGTCTTATTTCAAGTTAAATATTTTTGTCGTTTAAAGAAAATTAATTTTCCTCTAATGAGCACGTAGATAGCTGCTTTTTGTTCTATTACATATTTTTTTCTAGAAATAGTGCTAGATATACTTTTTTGTTTAATGATGAAAACTTTAAAATATCAAACTAACAAAAAGAAGTACCTAATTTCTACTTTACAAAAATACAAAGTATAATTTAAAAGATGACACAGGGCTTATTTTTCATGCGATTAAAAATTACGTAAGTTTACATTCCCATCAGCAGTGGAGGAGGGTTCCCCTTTCTCCACAACCTCTCCAGTATGTGTTGTCACTTGAGTTTTTGATCTTGGCCATTCTGATGGGTGTAAGGTGAAATCTCAGGGTCGTTTTGATTTGCATTTCCCTGATGGCTAATGAGGTTGAGCATTTCTTTAAGTGTTTCTCTGCCATTCGACATTCCTCTATCGAGTATTCTCTGTTTAGCTCCTTTCCCACTTTTTAATTGGATTACTTGATTTGTTGCTCCACTGCTGGTGGGAATGTAAACTGGTACAACCACTCTGGAAATCAATCTGGCGCTTCCTCAGACAACTAGGAATAGCGCTTCCTCAAGATCCAGCCATAGCACATATATCCAAAAGAGGCTCAAGTAACATAATAAGGACATTTGCTCAACCATGTTTGTAGCAGCTTTATTTGTAATAGCCAGAAGCTGCAAACAACCAGATGCCCCTCACCTGAAGAATGGATGCAGAAATTGTGGTACATCTACACAATGGAATATTACTCAGCAATAAAAAACAAGGAAATCATGAAATTTGCAGGTAAATGGTGGGACCTAGAAAAGATCATCCTGAGTGAGCTATCCCAGAAGCAGAAAGACACACATGGTATATACTCACTTATATAGACATATAATATAGGATAAACCTACTACAATCTGTACACCCAAAGAAACTAATCAAGAGGGAGGACTCTGGCTAAAATGCTCAATCCCCATTCAGAAAGGCAAAGAGGACGGACATCAGAAAAAGGAAAAAACAGGGAAAAAGTTAGGAGCCTGCCGCAGAGGACCTCCGAAAGCCTCTGCCCTGCAGACTATCAATGTAGATGCTGAGACTTATGGCCATCTGTTGGGCAGAGTACATGGAATCTTATGAAAGAAGTGGGAAATAGTAAGATATGGAGAGGTCAGGAGCTCCACAAGGAGAGCAACAGAACCAAAAATCTGAGCACAAAGCTCTTTCCTGAGACTCATACTCCAACCAAGTACCATGCATGGAGATAACCTAGAACCCCTGCACAGTTGGCGGCCATGGTAGTTCAGTGTACAAGTGGGTTCCATAGTAATGGGATCAGGGACTGTCTCTGACATGATTCAGATTGGCCTGCTCTTTGATCACCTCCCCCTGAATGGGGGAGCAGCCTTACCAGGCCACATAGGAAGACAATGCAGCCACTCCTGATAAGATCTGATAGACTAGGATCAGAAGGAAGGGGAGAAAGACCTCCCCTATCAGTGGACTTGGGGAGGGGCATGCGTGGAGAAGGGGGACAGAAGGTGGGATTGGGAAGGGAGGAGGGAGGGGTTTGTGGAGAGCAACAAAGTGAATATAGTGTAATTAATGAAAAATAAAATAAAAATATTTTTAAAAGAAAAAAAATTACATAAGCATTTTACAAAGGCCCTAAACAGTTAATATTCACATTTTCAATTAATTTAATTTGGTGTAAGAAATAATAAGTCTTAGTAAACTTAAAATATTTTATATATTCAGATTAAAGTTTTATCTTTTAAAAATATGTTAATTAGAATACAATTACAGATTCAAAATTTATTTAAAAGATAGTACACAGGATGAAAGAATATGCAAAGAAAAAATCTATTTACAACTACAACATATTTATCAAAACCTTAAGAATATATTTAAGTCTAGTGAGTTGGCTCAGTGGGATAAAAGTGTTGGTATTCAAGCAACCACTTGAGGACTTGAGTTCAAATCCCCAGCAAAGACATAAAAGCCAGGTATGGCCACATGAGCCTGTAAACCTCAATGCTGCAGAGGAAAAGACAAGCAGATTCCAGAAGCTTGAGGACCAGCTAGCAGAATCAAGCAGGGAATCTCAGGTTCAATGAGAGTGTCTCAAAAATAAGGTGAAATATAGTAGAAGACTCGCAGCCTCCTTCTCTGGCCTGCCATGCATGCACACTCACAAACATTTACCCACATATTACTCACCTATCCCAACACACACACAAAGAATATATTTAATAGTAACGTAACTGCTAAATATTATTTTTAAAATTTTTACTGGAGTAATAGTATTGTAACAACAGCTATCTGCATCAATGGGAACATATCAAAGACCTATAATAAGACATAAGAGTTTTGTATAACATATATGGCCTTAAAAGATCAAGTTGGCCTAAGTTAACATTTTGAATAGTAAAATACTGACAAACTTTAATATAAACTGAATTATTATAAGTAAGTTTTAAAAGATAATCACAAAAAAAGTGAGGTAGGGATCACGGAGAAAACTTAGTGGACAGAGTTCCTTGTGCAAGCAGTAGGACTGGGTGTGGAATCCCTAGAACCCACAACAAAAGGTGGGCAGGTGCAGCGACCAGTTATAATCCCCACACTCAGGGTACAGCAGCAGGAGATGGGTGGCAAACTGGCTAGCTAGACAGGGAAAATCAGTGACAGAACTTGCTGCCGTAAATAGCGGGAGAGCGAGAGAACAGGGCCTAATGTCAACTCTGAATCTCCACAAGCACGTAGCTGCACATGTACCCACACACATCTGCATCCATACACACACATACAGTACACATGCAAGAACAGGGGGATGATACATGTATCATATATAATAACTGAGTGCCATATAGAACCAAAAATTACAAATTAACACAAGCCATTTGTTACACTAACTTATCAACAATAATAACCCGATTATATAGTGGGCAATGGTAGAGAAAAGGTGACACCCACAGTCTTGGGAGTTGGAAGATAAATTGGTACATTTATATCATATCAAGTATTTGAGTCACTAAGTATTTCAGATTTCGGGGCTTTTTAGATTTTGCAATAATATTTGCTAATTGTGTTAGAATTCAGTTTCAGATTTTATAGAACTGCGGATTTTAGGTTTTCAGATTAAGAATCTAAACACGTATAACTCTTTTGGAGGCCAACTGATAACACTTTTTGTGATTCTTTAAAATTCTGCAGACACTGTGATGACCTACTCAGCTTTAAGAAATTAACTCTAATGTATAAAACACAATGTTTACTTTGATGCAATTTATAATGAAGAAAAAGTGAAAAGCAACCTAAAAATTGAAAATCAAATTTAAATTATGGTATAGTCCAGAAAATTTAACTTTTAGGTTACATGTTCACAGAACTGTGTTTAATGTTTATACGTATATGTGTGAGATACATCACTACTTACCAGGCACTGTTGTAAACATTTTAAAAAATTAACTCATTTGAATCTTAACAGCCCCCAAATACTATTTCCATTTTTCTTGTTACAAAACAGTGTTGTAACCATTTCTGCTTTTAAAATGGGTGAAAATACACATGCAGTGTATAAATATCCCTACACTTTCAGGACACTCAAAGGTTCGTTGCAAAAACCAACAGAAGTACTCTGAAATTTTGTATGATATTTATTTCCATCGAAATTAAAGCCTTCCACCAAAACAAAACAAAAACCAAGCATGAGTGTGTAAGATATATGCTATTTAGTCAAGTTCTATGAAAAAACAAGCCATTCACATTATTCACAGGTGCACACCTTTAGTCCCAGCACTCACAGAGGCAGGGGCAGGCAGAACTCTGTGAGTTAGAGACCAACCTGGTCTACAAAGTGAATCCAGGACAACCAAGGTTACAGAGAAAGCCCGTCTCAAAAACGCAAAAGCAAAACAAAACAAAAACATTCCCTCAGTTCAGGAGTGTGGGAAGAGTCATCCAATACCTTATTAAGGTTGAGATCACTAGCAGTCGGGGATTAAAATCAAGTAAATTTGAGCCTATTTGTTGAAGAAACAAATTCTAATCACTTAATCTCTGTGCATGAATTTCCTTGAGTAAAAAGGGAACTAGTACCCAAAGGCCAAGTGCATCATTTTATACATGGCCATATAAAGCTAATCCAAAAACTAAATTTCCTAACTGTGTAGTAAATGACTGTTACTCACCGGCAGGACAATTCTCCATCCATAGCATCATGCTCATCTGTGCTGGTATATGTTAATCTCCCTCCTACAACTGTGCCAACTAAGTATATCAGCCATGCAAGACGTCCTTACAACAAGAAAGAAAAAAGGTGAGAAGTATTGATTGAAACAAGCTCATTTTTCAGAAAATCCCTAAATTAGCAAAATCATCTGTTCTTCTAAACCAATAATCAATTATTATAAAAGTCAGTTTTCAACAGACAGTAAAGCATTGGGTTTCATGTTTATCGAGGCAGTGATAACAGCAAGTCTTCCAGGAAGAAAAATAAAGGTACTTATAAACAGTCCAACCAGTCTGCTTCAATTTTATACGTTACTTACTTACTTCTTTAAGTCTTACAGCTTTCATTTGCAAATGGGGAAAATAAAGACATGATTAAAATTAAACTCAATAGATCTGGGCGTGGTGATACACACCTTTAATCCCAGCAGAAGGGAGGCAAACACAGGTGAATCTCTTTGAATTGAGAACAGCCTAGTATACTTACTGAGTTCCAGCAGAACTCCGTAAGAGAGACCCAGTCTCAAACACCAAACAACAAAAAGTTAAACTTGATAATAAGACAAGACCTACATGTATTGTGTACAGCCAGTTTTGCTATTCAGCCAAAAGCATTGTAACTGTGGTTACATGGTGCATGAAGGTAATTCAGCACTCAGGAGAGATGGGGTGCTAAAGCAGAACAGACGATCTCCACAAACTCCAGGCTAGCCTAGGCTGACCACCGCCACCACCACCAAAACCAAACTGTATTATTATGGGCTGAGTATGATACATACACCTGCAATGACAGGACTTGGAAATCTGAAGCCAAAGAATGGCAAGTTTGAGGAAGGCTACACACTACAAAAAATTGTAGGCCAGTCTGGGGCACCTATCAAGACTTTACAAACAACAAATCCTCTTATCCTAATGACCACCTCTATTCTGAATGCTTAATTTGCTGATTGTCTGTCTGTCTAATCATTTTCATTTTGGAACTACTTCTGCTTGTAACACTATAGATTATAATTAAGTTATTCTTTAGATTTTCTTTCATATTTTAAAATCCACAAGTTTTGTTATGCAATTCACTGATTATTGAGTTTCCTTAATGGCTAAAAATACCAAAGAATTAAGTAATGAAACAAAGAGCTAGGGAGTTAACTTAGTAAAGCACCTGCTTCCTAAGCACAGAGACTTGAGTGTGGTCTTCAGAACCTACATAAAATGAGCTGGTGTCATGGCACACGCTTATAATCCCAGTGTCAGAAAGTAGAGGTAGGCAGCCTGCTGGGCTCCAAGGCAAGCCACTCTAGCCTACTTGGTAAGTTGCTGGCTAGAGACCCTGATGCAAAAAGCCAGCAAACAGCACAGAAGGAACAACATCTGAGATTGGACTATGGTGGCCACATATATGTATACAGATATGCATGCACACAAATGAGCACACAGACACATGCACACAGAAAGAGAGGGAGGGAGGGAGCACACCCAAATGGGAATATCTATAGTTTTCAAAAATTTTACTTTAGAGAAGGCAAAATTTAAAACTTTAGAAATGGAGTTATAGCCAGAGTTACATGCCTTCAATCCCAGCACTTAGAGATGCAGAGGAGGGCAGAATGCTGTGAGTTCGACGCCAGCCTGGTCTACAAAGTGAGTCCAGGACAACCAGGGCTACACAGAGAAACCTGGTCTTAATAAACAACAAAAAAAGGAATGGAGTTATTAGCTAAATGATTTTTAAGAAGTATTATGTTAGATCTCTGGATTTATTAATACCAGTATTAGATTCTCTAAAACTTTAGAGAGCTAGAGGAATATTTAACATAAAAATGTCATTTCACGCAGAAATTGTGTCATTCATCAAAACTGATTTTTCAAAGATGAACTATTTCACAATTCCAAAATTAATTACATTGTTTTAATTAAAAACATCTTCATGGCTAGAGTGATGGCTCAGTGGTTAAGGCATCTACACGGGGATGCAATGCCCAGTTCTGATCTCTATAAGCATCAGGCAAGCACATGGTACAAATACATACATTCAGACAGAATACTTCTACAGAGAAAAGTAAGCAATCCTTGAAAAAAAAAAAAAAAGAGCCTTTCCATGTGACCTTCGTATTCGTTTAAATATGCTGAATAGTTCAGAAAAAGCCTGTGCTGTTTCTGGACTTGGGAAGAACAAACACATTTTCAACACTGCTTTCCTACAGATTATTATTCTGCAGCAATCAACAAACCACTCCCTTGTAAAAGCAGAGATTCTGCAACCTGTTTCAGTGACAAACATCCAATAAATAATTGATACATTCTGGCAAATACACACCCTCTTCTGTCTATCAAAACAACTTGACTAGATTACAAACTGCCAAATTTGCAGTGTATCCACTACCCACATGCATCAGTTAAAGGTAAAGAACTAGTGGGCTCAAGAAACACATCACAGAAGAAGTCCACAGCATGTATTAATAAGAAAGGTACTAGCACAAAGTCCATGTAAGAAGCTGAGTTCATGTTTGTGCCTCTACAGTGTTTCCAGCTCAATAGTCTAGACAACACATAGTTTCCCCTGGAAAGCATGCTAACACTTAGGGTGGCTTCTTCAACCAAACCTCTTGAATCCTGAACTTGAACATGGACTAGATTAAGTATTCATGATCCTCATTTCTGCTTCTAGAATATTTTCTTAATCATAAAAGTACTTGTTGTTTATATCTTATATCATCAAATTATGAACCCTCTTTGTTGATGCAATTATATATGCTCTCCTGTATATTATTTCACCTTATTTTTAAAACCCTGAGGGGGCTAGAGAGATGGCTCGGTGGTTAAGAACACTGGCTGTTCTTCAGAGGACCCAGGTTCAATTCCTAGCACCCACATGGCTGTCTGTTAACGCCAGATGTAGGGGATTTGAACAAGATGCCCTTGTAAGTCTCAGGCACTTGAATACTTGGTCCCCAGTTGGTGGCCATGTGGGAAGAATTAGTAGGTATGTCACTGGGGGCGGGCTTAAGGCTTTGAAAGCCTGCTGTCATCCCCAGGGCTTTCTCTGCTTTCTGTTTGTGAATGGGAATGAGTTCTCAGCTGCAGTTCTAGCACCATGTTAGTTAGGCTGCCATGCTACAGCCATGAGGGTGATGAACTTCCAGCCACTGGAACTATAAGACCCAATTATATAAATGCTTCCTTCTCTAAGTTGCCTTGGTCATGGATTTTTTTTTTTCACAGCAATAGAAAAGTAACCAAGACACAGGCCTTCTGTATAACAAGTTGTATGCTAGATAAGCTATGTTTGAGTCAATAGTGCTATTGGGTCTGAGTTCAATGTCAATGAACCAATATAAATAAACAACCCTAAAGACTCACACATAAAACAATGGTTATGTGTCGATAACCTGATGGAAATGTTACAACCCAATAATACCCACAGGAACAATGATTTGATACTTGTGAATATGGTATTATGCTTACCTAGACCATTATCACCAAATAACAAGAATCAACTCTATTTCTCAGAATCTTAGCAATCATGAGACTCTTAACAGCAACTAACCAGTTAACAAACTAGCAGTTGCACTGTGCATGAATTATATTAGTCACTTCTAAAATAAATGTAATTCTGAAATACTGCAAGTATAACTTTTATTGATTGTAACATTTTACCTGCCCTAAGAGAGTGACTATTTTTTAAATATTCTACTATAAGTCATTTGCCTCCAGTCCCATGACTTGGGAGGACTGAGGCAGAAATACTGCCTTGAGTTTGGAAGCCAGATCAGGCTACACAGTATGATCCTGTGTGACCCTCTTCCATTCCAAATAGTACTATTTCTCAAAGCAAAACATAATTTAAGAGTAAATAATCACCAATTACCTCCCTTACACTTTATCACTTTAGATATTTAGATGCTATTTAGGTAATAATTACTGCTGTTCTTTTTAAAAATATACTGGGCAAATTATCTGTTATTGAGCTAAGTCCCTACTCCTTGGGGGAGCGGGGCTGTTGTTGTTTGAGACATGCTCTTAACACATAACTTAAGCAGTCCTTGAATGCCTTATGCATGTAGGCCAAGCGAGCCTAAAATCCACCATCTTTGTTCTCAACCTCAGCACTGGACTAAATACCATACCACACACTAGTCCTGATTGAGAACCTAAGATGGAGGCTTACCAGCAACGTGGAGTGAACCATCTGCACTTCGTTCTTATTTAAGAAACTTGATTTATGAAAGATCAAAGTTGTTCCATGTATATAATTTTCATATTTTTCCATTAAATGATATTTACTTCAGGAAGCAGAAGTTGCTGGGAAGATGCAGGTTTGTTAACCACACGGGGAGACTGTGCTTCAAGACAGAGAGGCAGGGAGGGGGAAAACCAGCACAGTAAGCAACACCAGCAGGTGCCAGAAGCAAAGGCTTCAAGTCTTGTGTCTGCTCTTTACTACATTAGCAACTTACTGCTTCCTAAGTACTCATAACGCACACAAGTCAGCACTGTAGGTGTGCCCTGCCTGTTTTGGCTATTATTACTATTATGGTTGAATAATACCCCTTTAATGGTAGCTCCACATCGAAGCCACATATAAACACCATGAAAATATACTAAACATTTACATTTTCATTCTGTTTTCCTGCAGAAGCTGTACTAGAAAGAGAAATAACATATTACTTAATAATTTTAAGTTGTTCCTACTTTGTCAAAGCTTTGCTATCATAAAAGGTAGCTATAACTCATCACATTTACTTCCTTAATGTTGATTATATGATAAACAAAAATATTTTTTTTTCAGGCTAAAAAAAACTCTCTGAGAAGAAACATTTAGACAACACTGACTGAGTAAGCTTTTGGAAGGACTAATTCAACATGTGAAGGTCTGAGGGCGCAAAGGACTCTATGCTGGAGAGCTCAACTTACTGGCACCGGGTTCCTAAGTTGAGATGATTTTTGCAACACCATATAAAAACCACTAATGCCTAATAGTAGACTAATAAAAGTATATATAAGCCATCTCAATTTGAAAAAATTTTAATTCTTTCATTATGACCACTAAATGATGCCTTGGATATCAA